ATTAAAATCAATCAATAAGGGTGTTTTAGTAATATTTTTTTTTAGTCTTACCTGAATTGATAGTTTATTCTTATGATTAAATCTTAAATATGACAAATATGTTTAAGACATGAACTTAAAAGTCTAGTATTCTTAAGGAAAATTTGGAGGCCAGTCTCCTATATAGACTATTTGGAGATAAGTTCAGTAAGGAAACTTATTTGATTTTAAGTCTATTTTTTGTCAAGTTTACTATTGTACCCCTACCATTTGAAAAAACAATTACCGATGTCTAACTTATTGTCTCTTTCACATAGATTAGATCATTGAGTTATATATGAAAATCGTTTATTAAATATTATGATAATTAACGGCAGTTTTATATGAAAGTTATCTATTATAATAGTTATTTATGAAAGCTTAATGTATGAATAAATCGTTGGTCTATTAAGTAAAAATCATATCACAAAATTTCCTTAACAATTCAAAATTTCCTTAATATTAGTGTTACTATAGTGACATGAATGAGATTGTTTTTCTTAAAATACTCAAAAGTCAAAATGAAGAATTTCATCATTTCAAATAGTTACACAATCTCAATCTCAATTNGCCCTGCAATTGATTATCCACCTTCAGGTGCTCATATCGAACCCACACCAAGATGACGACAGTTATATGACAAACGTTGTGACTTTGAAGTATTTTATCGTTGACATGAAATTGCGGTACCAAAGGCACGTTCGGCTGATATTTACAATTCACAGAATTCAAACAATCATGACGAGATCATATCAATTCTTGAACGTGAAATTGATCAAATGCAGCGTCGTCTAGATTATTTTCATGTACTCAATTATGCAAAAATAGAGCATTTTGATCTTGAATATGCCGAAATTGAAATTTTAGAGGATCCGTTACTAGTTTCTGATCCTAAACTTTCTAATTTCTCTGATTTGGATGATGATGCGTCAGATACTTTTATCTCATCATGTTTATGTGTACTCGATAATCATTTATGTTGTTTTGAATATCAATCACGTTATTGACATCTTTTTTTTACATTTATACGTTCTGAATAACTTATATTTTTTCACAGTTGATTAAATATTAATGTCGACATGATCAACATTACAAATAAAATTCAAGCATTTTAAAATTATCACAATTTATTTATTGAATGTAATTAAATTTTTAAATAAATAAAAAAAACTCATCCTCTTAAAAAGAACGTGAGCAAAACAATTTTAAGTATCATTGTTAGAGTTTTTTATTAAACAAACATTTAACATTTTATTCAAAAAAAAAATGCGAGAAAACCTATCACTTAATGACCGGTGTTCGATATTTTAAAATATTATAGTTTANAGAGTTTTTTATTAAACAAACATTTAACATTTTATTCAAAAAAAAAATGCGAGAAAACCTATCACTTAATGACCGGTGTTCGATATTTTAAAATATTATAGTTTAAAACACAATTTACGATCATATTAAAATTGATTAGAATATCGATGCATTTGTAAAATTAAAATTTATTTGATACATTTAAAATATTTTATAAAAAAAATATGGTAAATTTCATAGTTAATCTTGAATTTTACCTCCAAGTTGGGTTAGAAAAAAATGTCATTGTAAAAAGTTAAGGATAGAAACGTAAGGACAAAAGGGCTGAAAACGTCATTTGAGATGACATCTTTAAAGACGTCATTTCAAATGATGTTTTCAGCCTTTTTGTAATCTTAACGTCTGTTAGTATCGTTTAAAAAAATCATGTTTAAAAACGTCACTCTGAATGACGACTTAAAAAACGTTATTTGGAATGACATTTTCAAAAAAAAAATTAAAATTTCAAATCGTCATTTCAAATGACGTTTTTAAAAAAAAACTGGATTTGAGAATTAAGTTTAAAAGTGACTGATTTTAGGAATTAAATTTTGAGGAGGCATGAGTTTGGGGAAAACCTCAAAGAAATGGGCTCCACAGTACATAGCTTGCCTTATCTGTAGTAACACACCACAGTGTTGACATAGCATATTAAGGGTAAGGGTGTTAATTGAGACCAAGCATTCAGGTTCGATTTAAATAAAATTTGGCTTGAATTCGACTTGTGTTCTAAATGAGTTGAGTTTAAACAATTTTTTAGGTTTGTTTAGAAAAATGAGCCTAAAAAGTTCAGCTCAAACACACAAAGTTTGGTTTGTTTATGTGTAAAATAATCAGATTACTTGGGCTCGGTTCGAGTTCTAAACGAGCCAAATTTAAACAATTTTTAAAGCTTATTTAAAAAAACAAATCGCCAAGCAATGACTCAAACTTGCAAAGCTCAGTTCGATTAACAATTCTAATTAAGAGGGTGATTAGGCATCCCAATCTCAGGGATAACCATTGAAAAAACATTATATATCTTCCTATTTCCCATACAATGGTATTAATCTAGGACAACGGTAGTTAAAGTGCTTAGTGGTAGCCAACACGTGACATGTATTATTCAAAAAAAGAAAGAAAATGAACTATCAATAGCATATATAAAGCATGTTACTATAATCCTAGGGATTTACAAGTATAAAGAGGGAAATCCTAGGGATTTAGCATAAATAAATCTTTAAGAACCAAATTTAGAAAGTCAGTTTTAAGATCAACTATGTACTTGATTCCTTCAAGGCTAAAATTAGATATGATTTGCATTTTTTAGTCAATATAAAAGAGCATTTTTCATGGGAATATTTTTTTAAATATAAGCACTATACACAATAAATTGACTAATATAATTCATCTCTGCATTGCACGAGGTACCGTTAGTTAAATAAATTGAATGTATAATACCATTAGTCCAATGTGTGTGCCCATGGCCCCTACCCTGGGTCCACCATGCCCTCCATGCCTTCTACGGTAGGCATGGTAAATTCAGCGTAATCTAATTATTTGATACGAATTTAACGGAATTGAGTTTGATTTTAATGGGTTTGAATGATAAATGGGTAAGCCTGCTTAACTCACATAATAAACGAGTTGTGTTTAAGTGGAATACCTTAACTAGTTTATCATTGATAACTCATTTATCACTTGATTACTTTTTTAAAAGATGACCCTATATATTGTAAAATTAGGGTTTTTAATTAAAAATTTTTTGCATTGTAAAATTAATGTGTAACACAAGTCAAGTAGTATAATCGTTTTATAAAATGAATCGTGTTTGATTTTATAATATGTCTCTTCTCTCACTCTCTCAGCCCTTGAACCCACAACCTGGGGGTCAGAATTTTGGATCCACAACCACCAAGCAAGAAGGAAGGCCGATACGATTTTATAATATGTATTTATTTAAAACAAGTTATATATGAGTTGAATGATTTTTGACTCGAAACCGTTTAAGGCTCTACACAATTGATGGACTTAGCTTCATGGGTCAAAAAATTAGTTCAGCACTTAAATTTGATAGAGTAGGCCGAGCAGAGCCAACAGTCATACTGTGGCAAGGCCCAATATTTTTTTTCAGGTAATTTTATGGGCTAGAAGTCTTGACCCACGGGCTTGAGTGGCTGAAAATAGTATCTCAACGGTCGAATCTTGATTTAGGCGGTTTAGGAAACAATTAATTTCTGGCTGTGGCTATGAACTAATGTGCGCGCATAGTTGCGCCCCGTTATATATAAAGGCCAGGGGTGAAAACTTGTACAGAATAGAAAGACACAGAAACTCTCTCCCTCTCTTTCGTTTTTCCCTCCACTGTCTTCTTCCTCCCCAAATTAATTTCGCCTGAGGAACTGAGTTTTCGTCTGACATAGAGAGCGGAAACGAGAAGATTTTGTTGGGATCGATCTGAAGCAAAAGGGCAAGATTGCGCTAAGCAAAACGAGCATGGGATCAAACGAATAGAAATTCAGACTAAAAGGGAGGGAGCCCAGCTCAGACCCTATAATTTGTTCTCTCTCCTTTTCTTTTATATAAGCTCTCCCCAATTGCTCTCTGTGTGTGTTTTTCGTATGGTTTGTCTTTTAAAAAGATCGCTGCAACTGGTTCTTCTCTCTTTCTGTTATTGGTTTTCTTGGTTGGATACATATAAACACACATATTTATCATTGAGTCATTGTAACTTATTTGCTTGCCAAAGAGAATATTCTCCTACCAATATTCAACTTTGCAGACTCCGATTTCTGGTGTATATATGTGCCCTGTTATACAATTTTCAATTGAATAATCAAGATCAAATATAACGTTTGTCTTGGTTGTAACTATTATGATCTAAGCTGTTCAATCTTAAAGTCTTGAGAGACTGACGACCATGGATTGGGAAAGAGTATGCTTCAAATGCCTCCAATAGTTATTTCAGTAGGCCATTCTTTTTAGGAAGTCTATCTGTTATAGTTATCTATCTGTTATAGTTATCATTGATAGGAAATTGTAGGGATACAAGAGTATGCATGCATCTGGGTGCATGTGAATGTTCATTGCATATCAAGAAAAACATTCCAATATTCAGGAATTGGCATGATCACTATATTCTCTTTGATTGTTTCTAGGAGTTCTTCTGGCTAGGCTTATTACTTTGTTTTGCCACCATGTACTTCCCACTTTTTTTGGTGTTTTGGGTTCTTTCACTTTCCTCCTCAAATTTTAACGGAAAATTGAAGATTTTAATTCTTAATTGCCCAAGATAGCTCTAAAAATTTCTATTTTGGGATTTATCCATTTACTCTTTCTGATCAGTGAATTCTGGTTTCTTTTTATTTTCTTCATTGCCCTGCTCATCTGAGTTTTCATTAACATCCCTGCGTGCAAATTGATTCTTATGTGGGTATGTATTGTCAGTTACTAAATGGTCATATTGGACAATTTTTACTATAAGAAAAAGTCGAGTTCAAATTTTTTGAATTGCTGGCGTTTCCTTTTTAGTCTGAGGAAATGGTGGTAAATGCACTTGTTTGGGTTTGAAATTTTGGGGTCTTTTATTTGATTTTAGGCTCTGTTGTTGTCTGATTTTGGGCTGAGGATTACTATCAAAATTGTGGAGAGTTTGCACGATGATATATTCTGGGAAGCTCAAATCAGGAAGTGAGATAAAGGTAATTTTACTGTCTTTTTCTAGTGCCTTTTGTTATTTGCCTTGTTTTTAATTGTTGTGGTATGTGACTATGGTGGGTTGTAGGATGCTTTGAAGAGGAGTATCTTGGGTTTGTTAACTAGTAAAGGGCTTAAGTTGGGGCTTCAACTTGGATTCAGGTTTGGGTTACTTCATGGATTTGTAATTGTTTTATTGTGTTTGTTTTTGAGTTGGCTTCGATTCAGAGTTTTTGGTAGTTCATTGTGGTTATGTTACTAGGAAACCGGCTGTAATCATGATTGTTGGCGCCAATGGAGGTGGGAAGACAACATCTCTGGGTAAGGCATAGAGTCCTGGTGATTCAAGAGCCTCGTAAACTTAATTGTTTGTTACAACACAACTAGTTTGAGAAAAATCTAGTTAAGAAAAGGTCGTACACAGTAATTTCACTAAGATCTCCTTATGTCAAACTCTAAAATTATTCTTTTTGATTTTGAAACCTTCCTATGAAGAGAGCCTAATCCACAAAGGAATTTTTTAACCATGATCCAAAAATGGAGGCAAGTATTCAGTCTACGCACATATAATAATATAATCAACCATTTGATATGTATTCTTTAGTACCGGAATGAATGTTGTTTTAATTTTAAAATTCAGGAGAACAATAAAACTGATAAATCAAGGGATTTTGATATTTTTGAATGAAAAATCCGATGATTATCAATTCTTATCATTTTTATTTTGATAAAAAAGAGCAGAACCTTAATGATCTTTAATTGCAGGAAAGCTGGACCGTAGATTGAAGAAAGAAGGGGCAGTATGATGCAATTGAGCTAACTGTTTTTTACTCTAGTGATAAATAACATTTGATATTTTGAGGGCTTTTGGGAAACCGGGTGGAATAGAAAACCAACATCGCAGTTGTGGGAAAGCAGCTACTTAAAGAGTGTTGGCAACCTCATGGAATCAGATTTTGTGGCCACCGGACTTCTTACTGTAGGAGTAGGAAGTGCACTAATATTTTATGAAATATAATGGGTAAATGTATTGAAAGAATAACAAAAGAGGTTTCTTAAAGAGTCAAAGAAAACACAATCAAAGCATTAGGCTCTTGTAAAAGGTCACTCTGGTCCAAGGAGAAGTGCCCTTGTGTTTCTAGTCAGGTTTGAATTCTAAAATACATGGAAATATTAGTAAGTGTGCTTAGAAGCTTTTGTTCATGCTATCTCGGAAAGATTTGGTATTTTTATGTCTTAATATCTGACATTATCTTGTGTCTTCTCATACAGCCCAGGAAACATGTATTTGGTAGTAGCTTTTCTTATCTTGCCCGTTGTACAATATTTTGCCAGATATTAATGGCAGCAGGGGATATTGTCTCTCTATCTCTATCTGGACTTTTTTATAGAGAGGAAACGAGAAGATGTTGTTGGGATCAATCTGAAGAAGCTGAAACAGAAAACAAAAGTTCTTGCCCTAAGCAAAACGAGCATGGGATCAAATGAATGAAAAATGTTAGAGACAAATTATTCAGACTACAAGGTAAAAGGAGCCCAACACAGACCCTATAGTTTGTTCTATATCTCTCCTTTTCTTTTATACAAGCTCTCCCCAACTGCTCTATGTGTGAGTGTGTTTCGTATGGTTTGTCATTAGTTCTTCTCTCTTTCTGATATTGGTTTTCTTGGTTGGATATATATAAACACGCATATTTATGAGGGTTGAGCTGTGTTTTTTTTT